TAGCCGTGGTGATAGAGGTAGTGATAGAGGTAGTGGTAGAGGTGGTGGTAGAGGTAGTAAAGAAGATTAACGAAAGGAGGGGTAAAATACTTAAATAGTTAGTAGGAAACTAGTTATTACTACGTAATACTAGTAGATTAATAGAAGTAGAAATAAAAGTAGTTTACTTTTATAGAATATATAGTATAATAAACTATATTTAGGTTTACTTCTTCTACCTAAACTACTTCTTAGTCTACTTTAGATAAATATAGCTACTATAAACTAGTTTTGTACCGTAGTGTAAGTGTTAAAAACTACACTAGTACCTACATCAAGCCTAGAGCTAGCAGTAAGAGAGGATATGCTAAGTCTGTTAACATCTTGATAGTTGCTAGCGACGTTTAAAACGGTTGCAGTCAAACAATAGAGCTAAACGATGAAACATTGTTCCTATTAGAGTACCTATCTACTATCTATACTAAAACATCGCCAAAGGAAGAGTCCTTGTTGTCTGTGTGTAGTTTCTATTAGGGCTTTTTAGCTAGATCCTGCTTTAGCGCCAGTTATATCGATCCTGCCTCGTCGCCTATCATCCCACTCGCTCGCCCAATCCATTTCCCATCTAAAGTCTGTTTCTTTCATCGTGACCTCAGGCAAACACGCAATACCATGGCCAATTTGGCAGTCGATTCGCGAGAAGGCACTACTACCATGACCATTTGACAGGATTGGAGGAGCGGTAGGCGTAGGTGCGCGCTTGAGGACCAAGGGAGAACGATTTGGTTCCAGGAAGGAGCGTCGTATAAAGGAAAAGAAAATGGCGACAAGAACAAGAATGGGGACGACCAGGAGTAGGTAAGACGACGACAAGTGGGGTGTGGGTGTATCCAGAGACGGTCGAGCAAATGGCATCGTGGTGTTGGTGGCGGCGCAGGTGCTCGCTTCGGCCCGGTAGGTTGGCAGGTGAGCGCGCTTGGCAGCAATGTTCAGATTGCTAGTTTCGACGACCTCAGTCTCTCTCTCTCTCAATGCCTTACTTGCTTGTGCTTTGCCATCTCCCCAATTACAAGTTAGTTCCTGTTCGCCGTCGCCCTCTTTTGTATTCTCCTCTTGGCCTGATTTCACACCTTCTTGTCCGCCGACTAATCCGCCCTTTTTCTCGCTTTCATGCACGCCCAAGGCAGACGTGGATGCGGTCATCAGAATCCGTTTAACCAAACTCTCAATCCCGGTGTTGGTCACTGTAACGAAGATAGGAGTGGAAGTGGGCGTGAGGGAGCTGGGGCTGGCCATTGGTTGCATGGTCAGCTCACGTTTGATCATGCAGCTCTATGGAAACAGTGAGAGTGCGAGTTCGACAGTCTTTCAGTCGAATGGCATGTATGGCCGGTTGAGAGCGCGTTAAGATGAGATGGCGCTGAGATGGCGCTGGGATGGCGCTGAGATGGCGCCAAGTTAGACCTACAGCTACGTTACACCGCCATGGCCCGAGATTTGCTTCCAACGACACGAATCGGCTACCTTGATAACCTTCTCCTCATCTTCTTGCACGTGGATGAATCACGCCCACAATCATCTTACATGGATGAACCACGCCGGCAATCATCTTACATGGATACAACTGCCGAGCCTCCCCCAGACAGGTTTCTACCCAAGACGCCACTCGATCCCCGTACTGTGGAGGAGCGCGCCAAACTCCACGTCAAGCAAGAGGCTGAGATCCAACGCGTCTTGCCTACCGCTGCATCCACGCCTGCTGCCACACAGCGCCTTCTCCGCCTCTACACCGAGCAAAATGCCAACACTATCCGACAGATGCAAGACCAACAAAAAGAGATTGTAATGTGGCAGCAGTGTTCGCTAACGTACCACCGCGAAGCATGGAAATTTTACAATCTGTGGCAGGATGCTCACACGGCCACAAAGCCCATATCGACGCACAACGCCGAAACTGATTGTCTTGATGCCGCTGCCAATTCTGCCAACGTAGCGAATTCAGTCAATGTAGCCGATGCCGTTGACGTTGTTGACGTCGTGCACGAGCACGAGCGCAAGCTTATAGAGTATTGCTTCACCGCATTGCACGAGCTTCCTCTATCACAGTACGAACCCAAGGAGGGCGGACTCGAAATGTGGATCAAATTCAACGAGTGGTTCCAGACGCTGCGCCGACTATGCGAAATACAGCCCGCATCGGTCAAGCTTGGGCGGCTGAACGAGCCGGAGCTGGTGCGCGGCGCAGGGGGAGATCCAGAGTGGCAACAACACCAAGAGAGGATTGATGCGCGCTTATTAGGCAAGGGTCAGGCCGAGCTGCTGATCTTGCTGGACGAGTGCATGCAGGAGGTTACGCTGATGAAGGAGGAGCAAGCAAAGAGGGCTGACGCCACAAAAGGCAACGCATAGTTTGGCTTCATGGGGTTTCGATAATCATTTGATGCCATAGCGCACCAATAAGCATGTCCGCGAGCGATAACATGTACCTGAACAGTGTGAGGAAGCCAAGGGTGCTCGACGATGCTCGTGATGATCACTTGTCACGACCAGATACATGTACCACACACAGCATGAGCCAATGTAACCTTTTAATCACCTACGGCCTCCTGACTATTACGATGACCCGCTTATATGTTAGCCACGTACGAAAGGTGCTCTGGTCAAAGCGATGAACCACTACAATCCAATGGTCTGTACTGCACGGTCCATTTTACGCTGAGCCTGGCCAGCTCTTTCTACGGTAATTCAGGCAGAACTAGAAACGGAACCTTGAAAAAAGAGGACTGCATAAATTCAACCAAATTCCTTCTTTGAACGGCGAAGACCCAAGTTGAAATGAGCGAAACATGTCTTTGCAAGCCGATTCTGCCAAGTCTGGCCCAAGCAATTGGTCACTCCACCTTTACCCGCGTCCTTCTTCCTACCCCAGGACTAACACGGACATCTGCATCGACATCATCTTCGTCCTGAACCACTTTCTTTCGCTTCCCCAACGCCCCCTTGGACGGACCGTGGTCTACCTCTGAAGTTCCATGTGCCCCTCTCTCACCCGTGCCGCTTGTTTGTCCGAGAAAGCGCAGGATCAGATCGCAAATCCTGGATGACAGCGACCACCTAGGAGGACACGGCGGCTGACGACGTGCATAGATGCGATGAATCACACGGAGGACAAGTTCCTCTTGATCCGGATCAAGGTGGATTGCATCAGCATGGGTAGTATCGTCGGCTGCGTTAGAAGGGTTGGTGGGGAAGCTGCTGTTGTGATGGACAACAATTGCCATTGAGTGACTACATGCGCGGGCGGGTAACGCGTCAGACTGTTCTGCGACAGGACGTTCAGGTGATTCTGTGACATGGCGTTCTGATGTTTCCACGACAGGTACTGGACGCCATAAGACTATTTGCTGTGTGGGTATTTGGTCTTGAATAGGTGTGCTATGGCACATGTGCATGTCGCTGTAGACATTAGCGCCTCCCACTACACCATCGCAACCAACTTGCCTTTGATCCGGAGAGCCACGGACCTTGCAATCGACATGCCCTTGATCTTCGGGTTGAAGGACTTCGCAATCAAAATGCTCCTGATCCTTAGGATCCAAGTCCTCACACTCAGAGTAAGTTGGGAAGCTCCCAGGCATAGGCGTCGAGCGTGGCATGTAGACCCAATGCAGGCAATGGCATCAGACGGCACGGCAAGGCCGCCTTATCATTATATGCGGCTTGTTCAGCCGTGAAGGGGAGGGAGTCGTGAGTAAGACAAGAGACAAATAATCAAGACATCGCATCCCCATGCGGCTAGCAGTACTGAGAGTGAGAGGACTTAATCATTCTGCAACACGAGATCGCTCCAGGTCCGACAGGCCTTGTTCAAGCCGCACAATTACGCAACTTGCCCACTTGCATGCTTTCTGCATGCCTACTGGAACTGTCACAGTAGATATCGTGACTGTACCTCGCTGACATGCCTCGTTCTAGGAGAGCGGTCGTGTCTGTGCCCGCGATGAACACGCGAAGCAAGTCTAGCAGGATGGCTGTACCATATGGTGCAATGTCTACTGCATCCACATCTTCTCGCAACATCTCAAAGTCAACCTTAGGATCAAATTCAGCCTCTATCCCTGGCTATCACCGGTCAAGCTCTACATCTACCCCAGAGTTGACGGCAGGCTCTCACCACGCTACTTTTAGGTCTGCCTCAGCCTTGACCTCCAACTCTACCTCTAACTCCTCCATCTCGGACTGTACTCCATCAAACCCCCATCATGACACTCTGCGATCCGACTGCACAACACCTCGACGCCGCTCTAGACCTACCGTGCTCACGCCTCCGAGCACCGAGCAGCGACTTTCCAGGAAGCGATCATTCAGCTTATTGCAGGCTAGTCATGGAGCCCTTGCACCAGTTAGTCCAGCCCGAGAAGAAAGAGAAGTGGAAGAAGAAGAAGTAGAAGGAAGAGGAGGAGGAGGAGGAGGAGGCACGGAACTGGCTCTGGGCATCAACGCTCATGGCCAGCACCGTGTGGCACCCATTTTGGAGCCGCATGCGGCCCTCCACGCCGTCAAGCGCTTCCTGTGCACGCCGCAGGCCACCACAGTAAGGACATCCGGGCGATAGCTGCAGACAGTGGAGTGAATAGGTGCCCCTCACTGACGCTGCCGTAGAATCTGTCTAGTGCGCGAGATCTCGTTGAGACGCTTGACCCGCCACCACGCTGGGACGAAGCATCGGTGCAGAATCTGCTTCTGCTGAATAGCATTGTTCTACCGCATCACACGGTTATTGCGAAAGCAGGATTGCAGCATCTTATAGAGGATGCGCAGCACTGCGGCGGCCCTTGTCATGGTACTACTACCATGTCAGCTGAATGCGAACAGGCATATGTGTCTGTGGAGCACGAGGGGGACGACGAGGACGATGCAGAAGAGGAGACGTTACGCAGCGTGAGTAACAGGACTGGCAGCAAGAAGAAAAGTCTCGTTGAAGCATGGTGGGACCGCTTCCTCGCTGTCACTCTCTCCGACATCAGCACCCTGCCCCCAGCTGCCTACGAGATGCTGTCCCAGGACGCAGCCACCACCATCGCCGCACTCAATCTCACGTTGATGAGCAGCCCAACGTCAAATGATATGGTAGAAGACGGCCCAGGCAAAGGCGAAGGCGAAAGCAATTTCACACGAGAAAGACAGCAGCAGCTTCTCAGTACACGCATCCTGTTCATGTACAACATGGGCCTCGCTGATGCCCTACGCATCATCATGCATATTTTCTTCTACGCAGTAACGTACCACCCAGACCCCAGCCAATGGCGCATCCACGCCGGCGTCGACCACGGCACCCAACCCCATCCCAACCAACAGTCGTCGTCGTCGTCGTCATCATCTTCCTCCTCCTCCTGGAGCCCCCCCAAAAGACGCCTCCACCGCCTCTCTCCCCGCGACATCGACACCCTCCACGCCCACTTTACCGCTCAATACCCGCACACCGCGCTTGACCGCTCGACATTCGCACTGCAACTCAAAGAATGGCGACGCCTTGGCAGCATCTACATGTTCATAGCGCGACGGCTGGGATGGGGCAGCCTGTTATATCTGCAGGCGTTCATCGTGCCGAGTCGGTGCTGGGGAGCGAGTAAAGGCGGGGAGAAGAGCGGGGCGAGCGAGCGGGCATTCAAGCATCTAGAGGGGATTGGGCTTGTGGCATTGTGCGAGGCCAAGGGGGCGAACGCGTGTGTGCGCGGTTTGTTGGTGGAATTGTGTAAGGACTTTGGGCAGTTTGTATTTTAAGATTAGGAGGAAAGAGGAGGGAGTATTATTCTTGAAATATTCGAGGAGGACATGGAATATTGATCATACCCGAGGAGGCTGTATAATGTTGGTTTAATTCAAAGCAGTCGTATCATGGTCACTATCTCTATGACTACATTCATCACAACATTCAACGACTCGCTTCAGGTGGCGTTAGCAAATCCGTTTGTGAAATTTCACAGGTACCCATGTCCATGGGGGAAATACTATGATAAAAAGTAAGTAAGCTTTTTGAGATGAAATAATACTTATCTGTAGCAGCTTTGTTCACGAACATGTAAAAGGGATAGGATGTAGAAGGAATGATGCTTGCATTTGTCTAAAGCTTTCGAAAACTGCCTTTCTTTTGGCTTAGGGTAATGACTAGTCAGTTGGATGCTACTCACTCCACTTCGTATTTCGAACCATGCTACTCCTCCTCCCTACCATCACCATCCTCTTCTCCACTGTCCCTGTCCCCCTCCTCATTCCACCCCAAATCCGCCACCACGTTGGTCAACCCGTGCAAAACGCGTTTCCACGAACCCTGAGGCACTGCAACTCCCGGCTCCACAAATTTCGCCACATAGCTAGTTAAACTTTCTATGCCTAGACGCTGTCTGGCTGCCACGTCCTCTCTCTGCTTGGCTGTCTCGCGCACACGCTCCACTATGGCAGTTTCATCCTTTAGCAAGCGTGAAAGTTGTCGCGTTCGGGCGTGCAGGTCGCTATCAGCCATGGGAGCCTGACTCTGCAGCTGCATAATGTGCATATCTCGGAGAGCCTTGTCTGTGGACTGAGTGCGCAGATGATGGGCCTGTTGGAGCGTTGCAGTGTCACGTTCCGTCTCGACGGCGTCTAGGGCGCGTTGCTCTGCGTCCCGTGCGAGTTGCATGCTGGCTCTGCTTTCAGCGTGCTTATTTGTCAGCGCTCTGTTCTTTTCTTGCAGTTGCGCAAACGCCGCCGCACTAGAGCTACCCAGCTTAAGCGTGGCCGTGAGACTGCGTTGACCTGACTCGGCCCGATGGTCGGCTAGCATGTGGGAATGTTGAAGGCCAGTATTGTGACGTTGGAGAAGGGATTGGCGAGTGGCTGCTGCTGAGTGCGTGGCGTGGAGAGCGCTTTCTATTGACATTTGCATGTGTTCGGACAGATCGAGTGCCAGATCGCGTTGCTGTTGTGAGTCGTGTGCCTCTATTTCTAGTTGGCCTTTTTGGTAGACTAATGCTGCCATGTGGTCGAGGAGATGGGTGTTATGGGTTTCCAGTAGGCGCTGGCGCGTATCCGCCGTGTGCTGTGAGCTAGAGAGCGCGCTGGCTGCTGTGGCTTGGATTTGCGCTGAGAGAGAAAGCGCTCCATCGCGTTCTCGTTCGGCATCGTGGGCCCGTGCAGTGCTCTGCTCTTGTTCCTTTCCTGCGTTGGTGCGTGCAGCGTCCAAGGTAGCTACGTGTTGAGATAGATAGTCGGTATGCTGTTGGAGCAAGCTTTGACGGACATGAGCATCATCTCGAGCGTGGCGGAGACTGCCATGACTCCTCGCTTGCATCTCCTCTGCAACATCAAGGGCGCCATCTCTCTGCTGTTGCGTTTCTTCTGCCTGGGTATGGTGCTTATCCCGCTGGTGCTCCATGTCGCCAAGTCGTGTGTGGAGAGCGGATTGTTGGGCGGCAACGTGTTGGCCATGTTGCTGCTGCAATGTGCGACGGCCTTGTCTATCGTGTTGAGCGCTACGACGCATTTGAGCGTGCAACTCATTGCTTTGTGCAGCAAAGATTAGCGCACGCTCATCCAGTTCCCCTTTCGAGCGGTTCCCAGCGTGCTTATCCACTTCGACTTCAGAGCGGTCCCTAGCGTCCGTTGCATAGTGCCGCCGCAGTGCTTCTCTGGCTTGTGTCTGCCGCGCCTCACGCGCAAGCTCCCTCGCTCTCACACGATCATTCTCCTCCGAGGACCGGTCGTCGCAGTCAAGCAATCGCTGGCGATACTCGGTGAGCAGACGTTTGGCGTTTTGGTTCTGCATGTGCGCGGTGACGACGTTATTTTCAAATTTTTGCTCTAGTCGGGCAACGACTTGGCCTAGCTCACGGCTGAGATGGGCTGTTTGCTCAGCGAGCATGGTGGCTAGATGCTGTCTATCGTGGGTGGCGGCGATGCGCAGGGTGTCGGATAGTCGTGTTGAATCGACATGAGAGGCAGCAGCGAGGGCAGCCAGACTTTGCTGCGTCTGGACATGGTGCGCGTGAGCCGCGTCTTCGCGCTGGCTGGCGTGCTGCACGAGTTGTGCGGCCACGGACTGGGTGAGGCGTGCGCCAAAGCGGGCGCCAAATCGAGTGCCAAAATCGCCGAGGGCATCGTGCACGATGGTGTCGGTGTTTGTAGCAATTATGGTGGGCAAGTCAGGACACGAGCTGGGGAGTAGGCTAGGGAGTGAGTTGTGGGCGGATAGAGAATCATAGGCCGCATCTTCGGGGGTGGCTTGAGCGTGTGGATAGGTGGGAAGGCAAGGAGGCGGGCGAGCAGGGCTGCGGATGGGTGTTTGTGTTGGTGTTGGTGTTGGTGAGGGTGTTGGCGAAGGTATTGGTGAAGGTGTGCAAGTGGCTGTGGGTGCGAGTGCCAGTGGTGGCGTGGGTTTTGGTGGGGCTGTGTCTGTGGCTGGAGGTGTGGCTCTGGCTGTGGCTCTGGCTGTGGCTGGTGATGCAGCGTGCCAGTCATGTGAGGATTCAATACACGGCGCCTCCACCAGTCTCCGCACTGCCTCTTGCTCCTCCTGCGTGGCCCAACGGCGGGCGGTCCGGCGCGGTGCGACCGTCAAGATGCCCAGGGGCGCTGGCGTCGCTGATGCTGATGTCGATGCGCGGTCAGGCGAGTTGGCGTGCAGGCGGCGCGCGGCAGGTTTGCGGCCACTGCCAGCGAGGGCACGGCGTCTTGGGGGAGCCATGAGCAAGTAGGGTAGGCCGAGGGCCGAGGGGGTTCAGCAAGACTATTGTGTCCATCAAGAGTAGTCAAGGTGAAGTTTCCAGACCAAGAGCCCAGAAGAGCCAAGGCGGAGGTTCCAGATGAAGACTCACAACAGTCTCACTCAGGGGCTCAGTCTGGCGTGCACATACGACAGGCCTGTCTGCCATTGTGCCAGAACGGCCCTGGGCGCGGCCAGATAGACGTCGTTGTCCGAAGCTGCGTCCGAGTCCATGGTCGACAGGCGGATGCAGCGTCGACTTATCTGCACTCGCTCGACTGGCCAAGGGGGAAAGGAGACGGTGCAGCTGATGGGCGCGAGGCGGGCGACGCCGATGGGCTGCTTGGCAGCCAGGGCAACGCGGCGCGGGATGCCCGGGCCGTTCGCTTCCGCGGCCCCGGGCACCCCCACCCCCACCCCCACGTCACCTCGAAAAGCAAACTCCAAATCCAAAATCTCCAAGCACGCGGCCTTCATGTCAAGAAGCACATAACATGGCTGCATGCTCGTCGATTCCGAATTGCCTGTGCTAACCGCCAACAGCGTCCCCATTTCCAGCTTACACAGTGTCTGCCGCACCAACTCGTGCCCATCTTGGATCTGCACACCTAGTTCGTCTGTCCGGTGCGGCCTTGCCAGCAGTGCGAGTTTGCCCAGCTGGCCGTGGTAGTCTTTCACCACCATCTCCATCTTGTGTTTCGACTCGTCCATTCTTCCATTCTGCCCTGCTTCCTGCTTCTCCTGCTTCTCCTGCTTCTCCTGCTTCTCCTGCTTCTCCTGCTTCTCCTGCTTCTCCTGCTTCTCCTGCTTCTCCTGCTTCTCCTGCTTCTCCTGCTTCTCCTGCTTCTCCTCCATCTTTTTACTCTGCTCGGTTTCCTCCATTTCCTCCATCCTCTCCATCACTTGAACTCAAGCTCCTCATAATCAGGTCCACGCCTCCTAAGAGCATTAATACTACTCGGTCACTCCTCCGCCTTGTCCTTTATCTTCTTAGCCTTCCCTTATTTCCTTAATCAGTTAATCTTGTGTTCCCAAGACGCACAATAAATTAACGCATTCACACAGCACTCTAGCGCAAACACTGACTAGCAGTCTATCTCTCTCAACGTGCTTCATTGCGCTAGCCAACTTGTCTTGCTGCCTCGCTTCTCCTGATCGACTCACTTTAGGTTCTAATGCCATGTCGCCAGCTGTCGATCCCTGTCGTCAGATGAGAACGTGCTAATGGAAATAATCCTTCATAGATGCTGTTTCAGCTCAGTCAACGTGGCGGCAGGCATGTCTTACTCACTCATTTTCACATTGCTGTATGCTTTTTCTTTCTACACGGGTTTCGCGTTCTACCTTTTCCTTAAATCTTCTTAATCACGTCGTTCCTTTCCTAGTCTAAGAGCCATCATATCTATTATCCTCTACCCTGAACCGTGGCCCCCGCTTACGATATCACTCATCGAAAACGGCATGCCTTCGACTGAGTATACGGCGGAATCGGCAGCGCTCGCTGCAGCTCGGTCAGACATGGCAAGACTCATCGCCGACCTACAAGAGCTGCAAGACAGGGTTATTGCCATAAATGCTCAACTCCCCTGCTCCAGCCAAACCGATTCTGAACTCTCTGCAAACAATCGCGACACCACGAATGACTGTCTGTCACACGGCTTCAACACACAAGTCATGCAACGTCCTGGCGTTGGGATAAACATCACTCCTAACCCTCCACGCAGCTTCTTCTCCTCAGACTCCAGCACACCTGCCACCTGCACCCCAACCAGGAATATGGCAGTCTGGAACACACCAAGTGCTCCCTCCAGCCTCGACAGCCCTTTCGGCCCCTCCAGCACCAACCCTGGTCTCCCGGCAAACGCTCGGATATGGAACAGCCCCTCCACTCCTCTCCACTCCCCCCACTCCTTCAACTTCAACGACCTCTTCACCTCCTACGACACCCCCACTCCTACTCATATCGTGCAAACGACCCCCATAGCCGCAAAACATGCTCTCTGCCCTGTTCAGTCGCAATTCGAAGACAATAAATCACGGCCCGTTCCTATTACCAGACGTAACCTCCTTCCCGCGTATTCAACACCCAAACACCTGAAACGGGACATCGAGTGCGTCAAGAGCACAGCGGGTCCAAGCACTTGTGAGGAGGGGTCGGTGCTAATACAGGTGCGCAAGGGGGTCCAGGTTGTTGTGGTCAATGTGTAGGAGTAAGAGGGTAGTCGAGGTGTAAGAGGTTGTTGTAATCAAGGTGTTTCAAGATGGCACAGCAAGATAGTAGTAAGAGGTAACACAAATTTGAGGCAGGCAATATCTTCGTAACAAATTATAGCGTATATGCATGTAAGCATTCTTACCAGGTCCTCGCTTGCTACACGTTTCAACTTCTCCAAGTCTTATTTCGCCTCCACTAGTAGGAGGAGGGTTCGCTGTAACGCCAAGGGCAAAGTGAATTACAAATCGCCGTTTTGCACTTGAATCTAAAAAACAGCCCACGTATACGGCTCTTAATTACTTGTAACGTACCTAGATGGCTATCCGCTATCATCTGTCAACTTGATAAATAATGTCCAATGTCCCCTTGTACGCATCCTGTCTGCGCATAACTATTCATAAGAGCGTCAACGTATAAAAGTTTATAGCCCTATCCATGGCCATGCTCGACCATCCATGGCCATGCACAAGGTAGTTGATTGCTACTTAACGACTCATTAAGACAGCACAACAACGTTATGCACTAAGTGAATTTAGCATGCCTATAACCACTGGACGGGCTTTCCTCCCTTGAGTACGAGTCCTAATTAAGTGGTGTTTTGCAGACAGTGCCCGTTAATGAGGGTAGTAGCCGTGGAGGAGTCAAGTGTTAGGCAGCGCTCCAAGGCTGCACTTGCATGCAATGCCACCAGCAGTTTATAGGTATAGAACCTAGTGTGGCGCTGTGCACAGTATTAGCATCGTGCATCTTTGTAGAGTTGTTCTTGACGTAAAGACCAAGATGAAATCCAATAAATGGTAGGAATCAGCGTACAATCTCCGCGAGCACCTATACCATGCAAGCGAACCACACATCTCGCTGCATTTGCGCTGCCATAACTCTTCTCTTTGAAAATGCCATTATTAAGGAAGAACTATAACTTGATTATGTTGTAGTTTGTTCTTTGCAACGTCACGCATAGAGGCCTAATCTACTACTTAACTATTGCAAAACGATGTTTACGCGCACAATATAAGAGGTAATAGCTAAGGATATATAGCTTATTAGTATAGAAACCTATCCCTAGACTAGGAGTGTTTAGTAGTGGCTAATAATATTATATAAGATAATAGAAGGTCCATTCTATATATAAAACTTTAGCAAATAGTATAGAGCAAAACTACTATAGTATACATAATTGCTTTAGATTAGATTGTCTATTAGATGTATAGAAACACATGTCCCTAGACAACAAGTTATGCTTACTAGGGTAGATGTGTATTAAGCTACCTAGTATTTAGGTACTAGCTATAATACTTCTATATAGGCTATAGTATAGAGCCTATATATCTATTATATAAGTAGATCGCTAGTAATAACTATTAGGCCTAGGTAAAGCCCTAACGCTAGATAATAGGTATGTATAATTATTCTAATCCTATTAAACGCTATAAGATACGTAATATACTAGACTATAGCTATAAGGTTTCTATATGCGCTAAAGTATCTAGCATTTATATTAAGGAACTAGAAAAATAAGTAATAACATCTACTAGTTACTAAACTAAGGGAAACCTATACAAAACTTAAGTGTATTTATAATTTAAGTAATGTATTATTATATTATAAAGTAGAAGAGCTAGTAAGTTATATATAGCCCTTCTATACTAGGTTCTATAGGCTTATAGTCTACTTCTATAATACACTATCTAAGTAAAATATTAACCTAGTATAATCTATATATAATGTAGTATAGATTAGGTTAAAACTTATAGCCTATAAGAGGCTAACCCTAAGATAGGTACTAAAGTAATAAGATAAGTTAGATAACTATCTATCTAGGTACCTACCCTAGTTTTTATTTCTAGGTATAGGTAGAACCTACATATTATAGGAAAGTTGTTTCCTACTAGGAAACGACTCTAAAGAGGACTGTGCGCTACTAGCGTCTTGCAGGAAATAACTGTGCAAGGAAAATTAAAACCTAAAACCTGTTTCCTATAACCCCTACTACCTAAAACCTGTTTCCTGCGACCCCTGCCTAAAACCTGTTTCCTGCAAACCTAGACCTAAAACCTGTTTCCTATTAAACCGGCAGGGAGAGTAACCTATTTAAACGAGGAGAAGTAGGAGGGGCAAGGTTCAATAGTAGTAATTCCATAGTAGAGGATATAGGTTTAATGCAGAAACACAAGTAAAAAGATAATATTGTAAAGTTTTAGTAAAGTCCGCAGGAGTTGTTATTCTCCTATCCTCTAATCCTTCATGCCTTTATACTATTTAATCTACCTAACTTTTTAGGCTAAGCCTTGTTTTTCTCCTATATATCCTATACTATAGCATAAACCTCCCCCTCCTTTAAGCTTAGCCCTATTAAGCTTAGCCCTTACTCTCCTCCTCCTAGTCTGCGACCCTAGTTTCTAGCTTGTTAAGCTTTAGGTAAGGGAGTTAGAGTATCTAGGGTCTCTAATCTTAAACCTAAACTTAACAAGATAGTTCTCCTTTACGCCCTTACTAGGCTTCCTAGGTAGCCTAGCCCTAGGCGCCTAGATCCCTCTACTTTTTGTTCCTCTTTAATAGCTCCTAGATACTTTTTAACTATATCTAGAGTCTCTAATTACTTAATCTATTTATTATACCTCTACTACTCTCCTACCTTAGTAGGCTATACCCCCTTTATACTAAAATAGGATTAGTCTAGTACCCTAGCTTCCTTATCCTTGCTAAATACAAGCTTCTTATTCTTAACATAGATAGCCTAATTCTTCTTTAACTCCTTTACTATCTTAACCTAACTCTTCCTAATCTATACTCCTATCCTTTCTCTATTTAAGTCTCCTATTAGGTACTTCTAGATCTCTACCTTTACTAAAGGGTTATCCTATTAAACCTAATATATAATTGCCTTTAAGACCTAGGTTAGATAGGTAGCCTAGATATCTCTAGGAAATTACTATTAGACTCTACTATATTTAACTAGGTGCCCTAATAGAGTCTTTAGAGCTATACTTATCTATAGGTAGGCTAGTGCAATCTCTATATATATCCCTATCTTTAGCACCTCTATTATTATTATATTATCCTACACTTTTATATACTATAGTAGAACTATACGCTATGTTCTAGTAGTAGGTCTAGTAGATCTATGCAGCATTACTAGGCTTATAATCCTTGCCTATCCTTTTTAATAGATTTCCTTCTCCTATCTTACTATAGGGCACTTCTCCCTTAGCTCTTTAGGCTAGTGTACCCTATCTTCCTATACCTAGATATAGGCCCTCTTGTTCCTCCTTAACCCTCTATCTATCTAATTTACCTAATTCTTCTATACCTCTTTAAATCTAATTAGGAGCTTAGTATAGTTATCTTAGTCCTTATTATTAAAAGAAACTAAGCCTTAGATTATCTTAAGCCCTTATCCTAACTACGCTGCCTTAGAAAGGTTCACGTCCATGTAACAAAAGAATATCTAGTCTCCTACCTAGGTATACTTAGTGTAGTATAGGTATAAGATTAGGTTTATAGTTTCCTAGATTATAGTATATTAGAGCTAGTATCCTATATCCCCTTACACTAGCTATTAAATAATAGAGTAGTATATAGTCCTGCACTACCCTAAATTAGCTACCTGCTTTATCTCTCTTAAGTGCTATTTATATATCTTAAAGCACTTATCTACTATCCTTACTAGTTCTAGGTCTTTATAGATCTAGGTAAAGGTGTCTAGGGTTATGCTTCCTTTCTATAAGAAGCTTTAGTAACTCTACTTAAATCTTATTACCTATTATAGTTAGGCCTAGTTAATTATTAGTGCTATCTTCTTTAGCTAGTAGTAATAAGCTTATAAATCCTTAGAGGTGTAATCTTAGTTAAATAGCTTTATAAAAGCTACTATAGTAACTAGGTTAGCTTATAAATTCCCCTATTCTCTAGGCTTATAGTATAGCATGTTTAGCTATCTATTGCTTGCCTCCGCGTTTAAAGTCTAAGTGTAGAGCCCTATCTTACTAGTAATAAACTTTAAGTAACTAAAGCATACCTAATTTAAATCCTACACTATCCTCCCCTTAGTGTCCTAGATAGTGCTACAATTAGTAACTTTGTAGTACTATGCTTTAACTAGCTTCCTTTGCTTAGTATTATTAAGTGCGCTACTCCTAATCCTAGCTATAATTAATTATAGTGCGGAGCGTTAGTTTTTGCACTAATAGGGCGCTTTATTCTTAACTATAGTATGCTTATCTTTAATAACACCCTCTTCTTCTAGTATTATTATCTTAGTGTTTAGAGTCTTGTTAAGTTCCTTAAGTAGTCTAGGTAACAAGTTACGTAATTTATTTATTACCTCTATATTAGTATCCTATAGTTATAGGCCTGCTACTATATATTAACTAATAATTCTAAACTCCTAGTAAACACTCTCTCCTATCCTTTTTAAAAGCTAAGCGGCGTGTCTTCCTTAGGCTCTTGTTATCCTTTGTATAGGCGATTCTACTAGGGATTTATCCTTTAGGATATAGGTAGCTAATTTAATTTCTCCTAGGGTAGTATCTAGCATGTCCTCTATTCTCTTCTTGTAACTCTATAACTCCCTTACTATACTTCCTAACCTTAATAGTCCTCTATTCTAGACTACACTCCTATCTAGTAGTATAGTCTAGGCGCGTCTAGCGTAGGATATAGTCCTAGGTAACTAGTTATAACCTAGATTCTTAATCTCTTGTGTTACCCTCTCCTCCTCTACTTTCTTTTCTACTACTTCTCTGCTTCCTTATAGAGAGCTAGCTAGAATATCTTTAATTTCTTATAGCACTAGTATCCTATAGTTTATTAATAGCCTTATACCCTCTTTCTATATCTATTTACTAGGGGGGATTATACTAAGTAGCACTCCTACCTAGTTCTCTAACTTCCTATACTATTATAGTACTAGGCGCTAAATCCTATTATAAGTACTATCCTCCTCTCTATAGTATATATTAAAGTTACGTAGGTTACTTATACCTTTAAGTAT